GGATAGGATGGGATGGGATGGATGGCATGGGATGGGATGGGATGGGATGGCATGGGATGGGATGGCATGGAATGGCATGGCATGGTATGGGGATGGGATGGGATGGCATGGGATTGGGATGGGATGGGATGGGATGCAGGCCAGGCTGGGTCTGAGCCCTGTGTTGCCCCACAGGTGGCCTATGACACAGGTGACTACTACCACTCCATCCCGTGGCTGGAGGAAGCCGTCAGCCTCTTCCGCCTCTCCTATGGGAGCTGGAACCCTGAGGACAGGAGCAGCCTGGAGGATGCTCTGGACCATCTCGCCTTCTCCTACTTCATGGTATGGCCACAACTCCCATCCCCATCACACTGCCACCCAGTGGAGCCAAACCTTGGACAAGGGGAAGCTTACGGGCTCTCTGTCCCCACCATCCAGGCTGGAAACATCTCCCACGCCTTGAGCCTCTCCAGGGAGTTTCTTCACTACGGTACATGGCACATCCTCAGCTGCAGCAGGAGGATGGGAGTGGTCTAGGAGCGTCCCCATCCCCTCTGCACGGCCCCAGCCTCTTTCACCCCATTTCTTGTCCCCACGTGGGGTAATTCTCCACGGACCGATGCCAGGGAAGGAGGGTGGTGGGGGGGGTCATGGCATTTGGGGTGACACCACCTCTCTGACAGACCCCAGTAACCAAAGGGTGGCAAAGAACGTGGCCAAGTACGAGAAGCTGCTGCAGACGGGGATGGCAGTGAGCGCCGAACCCCTGCAACGCCCCAACGGCACCCGCCTGCAGAGCCGCGACGCCTACGAGGAGCTGTGCCAGCCCCCAGGGGGGCAGGTGGGGCTGACAGGGGGATGCCACGGTCCCCCAACCCCCACCGCCGTGTCCCCTCTCACGCCCTCCTTGGTCCTTTCTCTCTCCAGGTGGCCCCGGAGCATCTCCCGCACCTCAGCTGCTCCTACGAGACCAATGGCAGCCCCTACCTTCTCCTCCAGCCGGCCAAGAAGGAGATGGTCCAGATCCAGCCCTATGTGGCTTTGTACCACGATTTCATCAGCGACGCTGAGGCTGAGACCATCAAGGGGTTGGCAGGGCCCTGGGTGAGCCATCCTCGTCCCTAGGGATGTCCCTCTCCTGGAGGAGGGTGCCCCAAAAGCCATTGGTCCAGGGTGGACCGCCCTGAGCGTGCAGTGATAGGAAGGGTTTTAAGCCAGGGCTTAGCCAAAGTCTTCCTCAGCAAGACCATGGGTTGGGGGAAATGAGCCCAGTTTAGCTTCATCTGAGCCCCTCCAAAAGATTTTTGGGTAGCAACCAGGTCCGTGAGTGCATCTAAGCCCCTCCCCAGCCAGGCTTGACTTGGTGACAGCCAACTGCGTTGGATCCAGCTGCTGTCACCCTGCTGGGACACCTTGGGGTGGGGATGTTTGGCCACCAGCTGGTATAAACCCCCCAGATTTCAACCCCGTCTGGGGTCCCTACTTGGTGTGGGAGGTTCCCATCTGCAGTAACATCCCCCTCCACCGTGTGTCCTTCAGTTGCAGAGGTCCGTGGTCGCCTCTGGGGAGAAGCAGCAGAAAGCTGAATATCGGATAAGCAAGAGGTAGGAGCCACCTCAACCCTCGTCCTCCAGCCAGCGGCACCACCGTGGCCCCATTGCCACCACTGAGGTGGCAGTGAAGCCGTGGTGCTCCACACCCAGCGGTGCCATGAGCGTTGAGCCCAGCCAGGTGTGAATTTTGGTGGGGGGCTGAAGGTGGGGGTGGTCCCGCAGCGCCTGGTTGAAGGACACAGCCGACCCGGTGGTGCGGGCGTTGGAGCAGCGCATCGCCGCCGTCACCGGCCTGGACCTGCGGCCGCCCTACGCCGAGTACCTGCAGGTGGTCAACTACGGGCTGGGAGGCCACTACGAGCCACACTTCGACCATGCCACGGTCAGGGAGCTGCTGGGGTGGTCCTTGGGGTGGTCCTTGGGGTGGTCCTGGGATGGGTCCTGGGATGCTCTTGGAGATGGCGTCAGTCTTTGAGGTGGTCTCTGGGCTGGTCCCTCAGATATTCCTGGAGGTGGACCCTGGGGTGGTGCCCATGAGGAGGTCCCTGGATGGTCCCTGGTGGGATGGGGTTCCCCAGGGTGGTCCTTGGGGTGGTCCTGGGATGGGTCCTGGGATGCTCTTGGAGATGGGGGTGATCTTTGAGGTGATCTCTGGGCTGGTCCCTCAGGTGTTCCTGGAGGTGGACCCTGGGGTGGTGCCCATGGGGAGGTCCCTGGATGGTCCCTGGTGGGATGGGGTTCCCCATGGTGATCCCTGGGATGTTCCTGGGAAGAGAAGGAAGGAAGAGGGAAGGAAGGAGGGAGGGAGAGGGCAATTTTTCTCTGGGGGCAGCTCAGAGCCGCCGGCTCTGTTAGGGCATGAGGTGCCTCCAGGCTGAGTGGTGTCAGCATGGGAGGGACTGACCATCCCCATGGGACTGACCATCCCCACCTCCTCGCTCTTGGGGCAGTCCAGGAAGAGCCCCCTTTACAGAATGAACTCAGGCAACAGGATCGCCACAGTCATGATCTACGTGAGTCCTCCCTCCTTTCCAGTCCCAGCATGGTCATCAGTAGGGTTCAGAGTGAACCGGGTTGGAGATGAGCGAGGGCAGCCCTAAATCAGATCGTGGTGGGGTGTTAAATGACAGCGAACGCAGAGTATTTAAGAGTTTGGGCCATGTTGTAGCGAGGGAAGTGCTGTGGGGGACTAAGGGAGGTTCTGTGCCTCAGTTTCCCCATGCAAAGCAGCCATATTGGGGGGGAAGGGGAAGGTTGGGCTCATAATTTTCCTCCTTTTCCAGCTGAGTGCAGTGGAGGCCGGCGGCTCCACTGCCTTCATCTCCGCCAACTTCAGCGTGCCCGTGGTTAAGGTGAGGGGGACCCACATGAGGGGAGCCAAATCCCAGTCCCACCGCACCCAGCTCCGTTTTTGGGGTGCCAAACTCCCAACCCCAAGCTCCCAGGTCTGTTTTGGGGGTCCCAAACTCGAGCTATGGTGCTCCTGGCTTCCTCTGAGGACTGCCAAACCCTGATCCTGCAGCTCCAAGCTTTACTTTGGGGCTCCAAATCCTAATGCCGGGACTTCCAGCTCTGTTTAGGGGTTCCAAACCCAAACCATTGGGCTCCTGCCTGTTTTGGGGTGCTAAACCCCAACCCCAGGACTCCCAGCTCTATTCTGGGGATCCAAACCCCAATTCTGGGGCTCCCAGCACTGTTTTGGGGTGCCAAACCCCTCTGCTCTGCAGAATGCGGCTCTCTTCTGGTGGAACCTGCGGAGGAATGGGGACGGGGATGGGGACACCCTGCACGCTGGCTGCCCTGTCCTGGCCGGAGACAAGTGGGGTGAGAGACGGTGTCCCCCTGGGGTGACACGGGGTTGGAGGGGCAGCTCTGCCAGTGGGGGGGCGAGGGATGCTGGGAACCCCCAAAAATGGGGAGTCCTTGTCCTTGTCCCTTCCAGTGGCGAATAAATGGATCCACGAGCACGGGCAGGAGTTTCGGCGGCCGTGCAGCGCTGACCCACAGGACTGAGCCGCCATGGGCTCCTGGATGTGGCACCAGTGCACCCCCAAGGCTGTGGCAAGAAGAGGGAGGGAAAGGGGGTAGCAGCAGCGTGGGGCGGGGCTATGGGGGGTGGTGGCACTCGCTCAGCCGTGGCTGAATCTGGTGGAAATAAAGTCAAAAGACACCAAACTGGAGTCTGCAGGAAACATCTCGGTGCGGTACCCGATGGGATGATGTGGGAGGGGGTTTATGTGTCTGTGTCCCCTCATGTCCCCCACCCCTGATTGCAGCATGGACCCTAAACACACCCTCAAGCCTCCTCCTCCTCCTCCAGCCCTCAGTGCAAAGCCTCTCTCCTAAAAGAACCAGCAGAGCCTCTCTCCTAAAAGAACCGGCAGTTAGCGACGTGGCACTTCTATGGTCATCAGTAGGCTTCAGAGTGAACAGAATGGCCAAGCGCAAAGACCGTACGCTAACCGTACGCTATCCTCACTCAACTAAACCTGCCGCAGCGCCTGGCAGCACCGTGGCCCTGGTTGTGCATCCCTGCTCTTGCCCTGACAACACCACAGGGCTCCCCCTCTTCCTCTGCACCCCCAGAAGGGCCCTTTTTGCAAGGCACTTGCTGTAGGGGGACCTTTGGGGAGGGAGAAAGCAGCGGCTGGCTTTCAACCCCCCGACCCC